GATGTCATGCTTGGTAGGGTGGAGGGTCAACGAAAGAGGGGGAGGCCTTCAACGAGATGGATTGACATGGTGGCTGCGTGGATATATCAAGTATAGCCAGGGATCGTGGAGCTGGCGCGGGATCGGTCAGTGTTTTGTTCTGCTGTGCATGGGGTCACTATGAGTCAGAGACAACTCAACGGTACCTAATAACAACAAGAAGTAGGTATAAAAGGAGCCCTGGTGGCACAGGGGTAAGTGCTTGGCTGCTAACCAAAATGTTAGCAATTCAAACCCATCAGGCACTCCACTGGAGAAAGATATGGCACTCCAATGGAGAAAGATTACAGTCTTGGGGACGCTAGGGAGCAGTTCTACTCTGTCCTATAGGGTAGCTATGAGTTGGAATTGGTTTGGTTTTAGGTTTAGTAGTTTTGGGTTTAGTTTTAATTTGCATTTTCCTAAAGACTAATGAAGAGAAGGCCTGGTGGCACAGTGGTTAAGGACTTGGCTGCTAACTGAAAGGTTGGCAGTCTGAACCCACCAGCTTCTTTATGGGAGAAAGATGTGGCAGTCTTCGTCCATAAACACTGCAGCCTCGGAAACTCTATGCGGCAGTTCTACTTTGTCCTATAGGGTCCTGTAAGTTGGAATTGACTTAATGACAACAGGTTTTTTCGTTTAATGACTGATGATATTTAGCATCTTTGCATGTGTTAATTGGCAACTGTATATCTTTTTTGGTGAAATGCCTATTCAAGTTCTTTGACCATTTTTTAATTTAGTAGCTTCTCTTTTTGCTATTGAATTCTAGTTGTGTGTGTGTGTATGTGTGTGTATGTTTGTTGTTGTTGTTATGTGCCGTCGAGTCGGCCCCAATTCATAGCAACCCCTCTCCTTGGGTTTCCGAGATGGTATCACTACGGAAGTAGATTGCCCAACCTTCCTTCCGAGGAGTGGCTCATGGGTTTGAACTGCCAGCCTCTGGTTAGCAGTCAAGTGCCTTAGGCACTATGCTACCAGAGCTCCTACTTGTAATTATACACACACACACACACACACACAGAGCTAGAATTCTCTCTCTATATATATCCAGTATATAGGAGCCTCTGGTGGTGTAGTGCCTAAAGCATTTGACTGCTAACCAGAAGGCTGGCGGTTCAAACCCACAAGCCACTCTGGGGAAGGAAGATTGGGCAATCTTCTTTCATAGTGATACTGCCTCGGAAACCCAAG